CATCCAACCTGAAGAAGTGTCCCACAAGAAACAGGACAAGGACAAAGATGCTAACAAGGGAAGCAATCCAACAAATCCAGATGTCTTATTTGCCCATGCATTTGTATCAAAAGAACCAATATATTTTCCAACAACTTCATAATTAAGATTAAAGATATCTTCACATGCTCTTACTTTAACATAATACTGTACATGCCATCATCTACCAGCAAGGAGCTGGGACAACTTGCGGCCAGCTCGGCATGGCCAGCTCACCGCTGCCAGTTCACCATTGCCAAGTCACTGCTGCCAAGTTGCCACAGGACAACTCCACTTGGACAACTTGCCGTGGATGGCTGGAGGGAGAAACAGGCAGGTGAGTGAGCAGGAGGGCAGATTGCAGAATGGCGGCCAGGGGCTTCCCATTTTCACAACTCTGCCACTGCTGCCGAGCTCTGGGCCAAAGAGGTCAGGGATGGTGGTGGTGTGTGTGAAAATGGGATGCCCTCAGCTACCATTGCCTCTGTCACCCTCCCTGCTCACCCCCACCACTATCCCCAACCTCTTCGGTTCAGAGCTTGGTGCAGCAGCAATGGCAGCAGTGTGGTATCATACTCCCAAGAGTGGTCGGCCTACCAAGATCACACCAAGAACAAGACATGTAATACTCTGGGAGATCTCCAAAAAACAAAAACAAAACCCACAGGGTAATGTTTAAGGAACTAAAGGCCGTTTATGCATTGGTATCAGTGTTCATGAGACTGCCACCAGAACACTGAAAAGCAATGATGTGCATTGCAGGGTTACAAGGACAAGGACAATACACCAAAAAGAACTTCTGCTCATCATCAAGCTGCTTGTGAAAGACCACATGGATAGGCGAAGGCTATTGGAAGAATATTCTATGGATGGATCACACCAAAATAGTTTTTTTAATTGAATGAAAAACTTTGGTGAAAAACAAATACTTCATTCCAGCATTCCAGTATAAGAATCTTATCCCATCTATGAAACGTGGTGGTTGTAACATGGGTTGGGCCAGTTTTGCTGCCCCTGGACCAGGATGACTTGCTATCATTTATAGAATTTTGAATTCTGAATTGTATCAACAAATTCTACAGGAATGTCAGGATATCTGTTCATAAATGGAAGCTCAAGAGAAAATGGGTCATGTGGCAAAACAATATGACACAACTCATATAACTAATAATGTTTAAAGCAGGAGAGATTTAATTTTTTTTGGAATGGTCAGGTGAAAGTCCTAACCTTAATCCAATAGAAATATTATGGAAGCATCTGAAGTGGGCAGTTCATGCAAAGGAGCCCATTAACATTCGCTGAGTTGAAGCTGTTTTGTAAGGAGGAATGAGCCAAAATTCTTTCAAACTGATGAACAAATGTAATCAACAGTTATTGGAAACATTTAGTTAAGTCAACATACTTTTGCTACACACAAAACATGTTTGTCATCTTCCTCAATAAATAAATGGACAAGTATTTTTGACTTATTTAATTAGATTCTCCTTATTTAAGTTTAAGATGTGTAGAGAACAAATAACATTTTAGATCATATTTATGCAAAAATATTGAAAAGTCAAAAGGGTTCACAAATGATAAGCACCACTGTATCTGCAATTTGCCTTTAAAAGGTATGAATTACAACATTTCTTGGATGGAAAGGCGATAATAGACATTGACAATTAAACTTTTTATTCCTCAAAATATTTCAAATCACTGTACAGTATTGTAAATTCTTTCATTTGGAATTCTGAGCAAGAATTTATATTAGCATACATGACAACTCCCTTTCTATTGTCAGAGATGGGGAAATGGTGACACATGCACGATGATGATGACATCAGTGTCTTACAGGCTGCTATGCTTGTGTTCCTTTTGAATATTTTTCAATTGCTGTATTCCATATAAGGGAGATGTGCCCAGATGTGTTATATTTTTAAATCATGTTTTTATCTCGCGTTAAGAGCTCAAGCTCATCTTTATGAGTATAGGCTTAAGATACAGGAGGATCTGAACAAACTGGAACACTGGGTGCTATCCAACAAAATGAAATTCAATGATGAAAAAAGTAAAGTTCTACATTTAGGCAAGAAAAACCAAATGTACAGGTATAGTATAGGGAGTACCTTGCTCAATAGTAGCAACTGTGAGAGGGATCTCAGAGTCCTAGTGGACAATCACTTATGAGCCAGCAGTGTGCTGCAGCTGCCAAAAAAGCCAACACAGTGTTAGGCTGCATTAACAGAGGGATAGAATCAAGATCACGTGAAGTATTAATACCACTTTACAATGCCTTGGTAAGGCCACACTTGGAATACTGCATCCAGTTTTGGTCACCACAATGTAAAAAAGATGTTGAGACTCTGGAAAGAGTACAGAGAAGAGCAACAAAGATGATTAGAGGTCTGGAGGCTAAAACATATAAGGAACAGTTGCTGGAATTGGGTATGTCTAGTTTGATGAAGAGAAGGACGAGGGGTGACATGATAGCAGTGTTCCAGTATCTCAGGAGCTGCCACAAAGAAGAGGGAGTCAAGCTATTTTCCAAAGCACCTGAAGGCATGACAAGAAGCAACGGATGGAAACTAATCAAGGAGAGAAGAAACCTAGAACTAAGTAGAAACTTCCTGACAGTTAGAACAATTAACCAGTGGAACAATCTGCCTCCAGAAGCGGTGAATGCTCCAACACTGGAAGTTTTTAAGAAGAGACTGGACAGCCATTTGTCTGAAATGGTATAGGGTTTCCTGCCTGAGCAGGGGGTTGGACTAGATGATCTCTAAGGTCCCTTCCAACTTTATTATTATAAATGCATATATAATGAAAGTGATCTTTCACTGAAACCAGTATCTTTTCCTCCTACACAATTGTATGTTTTAACATGTCACCTTTTTATCAGTTTTATTTTGGTGGTAAAGTTGCCACTATTTTTCTGCCACTATTGCATTTAGTCATGCAATTTATTCAAGCTTTATCAAGAGTCTATAAGACCAGCTTCTCAGAACAAAACCCAAATACAACTCATGATTCGTTTGCTTAGGATTTTGCATCTGTGAAAGAGACTGATACTGTATTTCCTGATATTAAAAAAAAAACCTATTATGAAAAAAGCCCTACTAAAATATACCAATGAAAAGTAAGATTAAATGACTTAACAAGACACACATGTAAACATCGGATCCTGTTTAATCTTTTCTGGAATGTAGCTGTGGCACCCTACTCTGAATGGAGGTTCAAATAATGAAGGTAAGTTTGTCCCATTCTGTTTGTGCTTTTTATAGTAGATACAATTACTTCAACAGTTTGGAAACGAGTAACTAACCAACGTAAAGGTGGAGAAATCAAAGTGATTTGCTGACTGAAAAAATATATTTAGAGAAAGGAATATTAAGATATAGCCTTCTTGAAAAACAAGTTTTCTGTCAACTTTAGCTGTCGTCTTAGAAATAGCATGCTATTATTCCAGGGAGCTGTACTAAAAACACCTAGAAGGTATAACAGTGCTTCTGACTATTATTATAATCAATGTTTCTCAACCTTAGTCACTTTAAGAGATGTGGACTTCAAGTTCCAGAATTCCCCAGCCAGCTGGCTGAGGAATTCTGGCAGTTGAAATCCACATCTCTTAAAGTGGTTAAGGTTGAGAAACAGTGGTACTGGTATAGTGTTGGTTTTTTTTCAAAAAAAAAAAAAAAGGTGCCGGAACTCACACACGTCATGCAACCCGCCTTGCCTACCCTACAAGGTTCCATCCAAAAAAGGTGCCGGAACTCCGTTCTGGGCGTTCTATGAGAAAAAAAGCCCTGCTGGTATATATTATCATTCTACTCCAGGGGTAGTCAACCTTGGCTCTTTTATGACTCGTGGACTTCAACTCCCAGAATTCCTGAGCCAGCACAGCTGGCTCAGGAATTCTGGGAGTTGAAGTCCACGAGTCATAAAAGAGCCAAGGTTGACTACCCCTGTTCTACTCCAATGCATAAAGGGACGGAGTACAAGAAAACGACTCTCATAGGAGCAGCCCAAACATGCAACAAACGGCGGCAGCGGAAACAGCGTAAAAACAAGCTCCGCCCTTTACTAACCTCGTTGGTTTCTGCCACTACTTACTGCGCAAACTCCTAATCATCCTCTCCCTGCGCATGCGTTGCGCCGCCGAGACCGGTGAGGTTCGGTTGGGTGGGGGTTGTTGTGAAGCTGCTGGGAACACGTGAATCAACGTCATCATAAACATTAGTAGCCAAGATGGCAGCTCCGGCAGGGGGAAAGGTAAGGGAGAGAAGTAAAATCTTTGAGTCGCGGTAACTATAATGTTGCCTTGAGAGCAGAGTAAATTTCATTATGGGACCTCTGTAATGGGTGAGTAGGGAGTGACGGAAATCCCGCCGAGCTGGGGGGATGTCAGGCCGCTGGCTGAACTAGTCTTGCTTCGAGGGGTGTCTTCCAGATAACGTCGGGGCAACAGCCCACAGACCTCGGGCGGGGCCTGGGGCTGAGGCGTTTTGCATTCGTTTGAAGCGGACCGCCTCTTGATCTGCCGGAATGGGGACAGGTGTATGACACGTAAAACATTTCCTGCATCTGTGATCAGGTCGGGGTCAAAAGGAACTGCATGCTTTGGTGCTGTTGAAAAGGGAAGTGTAAAGGAGGTTTGGGGAAGAGGGCATACTCCCATAGCGGCATTAGAACGCTTTTGTGTAACTCCTGTTTATATGTTCATCTCTGAATGAACTGTCAGAAGGAAAGCAGCCCATCCTTTTTACTGCATTCTGACCTGTTAGGCTTGTAGCTTTTTGACTGATTTTTTTCAAAGGAGCTTTCTGTGATATGGTTAAAATGCAGAAAAAAACTGATTTACAAAACTTTCCCCCCAAAATCTGTTAAAGTTAATCTTTTTGCTTCTTATATTAAAAAAATTGATATCAGTGATTGCTTGGAGGTTCCAACTAAGACATCTGCTAAATAGATGGAAGATGAACTTCTGAGGTGCTCAGTAACTAATGAATTAAAATAGAAATGGTTTTTAAAAGGGTATTTTTTCACCACAGCATATGGTTTGGTACATATAAGTGATATACAGTGTTGGTAGTCATCCACTATTACATTTAGATCATTTTCAGTGGGAGCACAACTGATTCAGTTTTTCAGATATTTAATTCTTCTCCTAAGCTAGTTATACTGCTCAGTTAGAATATTTTAAGTAATTAGGAATCAATGTTTGTGTTGCCAGATTATAGCTTTCAATCTATTCTGATTCACTAAACAAATATCTGAGTTCAGAAATTTTATTTTTATTGCTTAATGGTATAACTACAGTATAAGCAGAAAAGAAATATAAATAAAATGAAGCTAACATGTTACAAGAAGTATGTAAAAGCAACTCAGTTTTAAACAGCACATTACATCTTGACTGCATTATATATCAATTTTCTTATTAGAGATTGAGAGTGAATGATAATTTTTCTGAACATAACAAAAATTATTTTGGTTCCTCTCCGAGGTAGCTAAAATTTATCGATAAATCTCAAGTTTTCAATATTCAACTTTGTATCAATTTTTAAACCTTATGTATCTTTCCAAATTCATATTAGCCATTGCATAATTATTAAACTAAAACAGGACGACTATAGGGCATGTATTGGTTTTCTCAGATTTATTACATTACTAGTATAAATGTTTTATGCACAGTCCTTAAATGTCCACTGAGATGTTCAGCAAATATAAAAATAGTTTGATTAAACTCATGTTAAGATTATAAGAAACTTTATTTAAATTCAAGACAATTGATTTATTTAATTATGGTGTTACAACTCTTCACAGAGTTCTTGTAAACTATAAAATCTATCTTAATAATACTTTTCATATATTTATACAAGTAAACTTAGTGTCTTCCAAAATAATTTCCAGTACAAGGAATACACAGTTTTCTTAAGCTACTTATGTATCACATCCAAATTGAGAAATCAAAATAGGTTTAAATTGAATGTAGCACCTTTCAGTAATTTTAGGAAGTCCAAATTCTTCTTAGAGTACAAGTAATGTTTTAACGAATGATTACTAAGTTTGGCCAAAATATTAATAGCTTTTTCTATCTAATTTGTTTTAAAAGATTTTGTAGCGGTTTTCAAGTTAAAATTACTCCAAAATGTTAATTTTTCCAAGGGAACAGAGATTAAATTTCCATGCCAAAATTCCAAAATCATTAAATCTTGGTCATTACAGGAAATACCCTAAATACTTGCAAATGGAAAACATTGTGTTTTATTCCATTCTTCTTCTTCTTGTGCCATATCTGTTATTGGACTTTGGCGATCATGTTGCCGATCCTGTTTTATCAGCAGCCGCACGAAAAAGTGCAGCTGAGTTTTGTCCAAACCAATCCCTTAGATTTTGAAGCCACGATGTTCTTCTTCTGCCTGGACCTTGTTTGCCTTCAATCTTTCCCTGGAGGATTAAATAAAGTATGCCGTATTTTTCTGGGTGTTGCATCACATGTCCAAAATATTCTAATTTTTGTTTTTTAATTGTTTTGATGATTTCCCTTGGCTTTCCCAGGCGGCTTATCACTTCCTCATTTATTCCATTGTGCACACAAAATATCATTTGATTATATATTAAGCTATTGAATCCAAAGGCAAATTAATAAAAAATATCCTTGATAAATTCCATACAACTCTTTCATGCTAGGGTTATCAAATAGTTGTCAGAGCTAGGATTCCAACATGTTTTATCCTTGGCCAAAATATCTTTTGCTGCTTTTCACCAGAAGCTTTCCTCTTTCCTCCAGAAATGGGTTCAGTTACTCCAGTGACTAGGTTAAAAAGAAAAATGGCAATATTGCCCAAAAGACATGGACAGAGGATGAATCTACTTCAGTTTGAGGAAAAGCAGTGCTCACTCATTCCATACATATCCAGACTAGCATCTGTTCGTGTCCTAGCTTTGCCTTTAGAGTGCAGTTTCTGTACTGTAATTATAGATTATAGTTACTGAGGTGGAAAGAAGAATGTCTCCAGGATTGATTTTAGTTGATAACGTAAAGGATGTAGACAGGTTACAGAGTTTTTATATGTTTTTTCTCCCCTCTCCCACTAAATCTTTCTTTGAAGATTATCTCAAATTTACGCGAGTTATGCTGGCTGGTAACTTCTGGTATGGTATATAGTATATTGATAAGTTTTGTTTAGGAATGAGAAGAAAGTTCACTTACACTTATTCGTTAAGGAATAACTAACATAGGTTTTGAAAATGCCTATCTTAATGTGTGAAGAAGTAATTATATTTGTAATAACTCTGTCTGAAAAAAAATTAAGGTAACTACAGTTACTCTAAATACTAAATGGGAATCCATTTTTATCAAACAATCATTCCAGAAATTAAATCTGTATAATAGAGAGCTTTTGTATCCCATGAAGCCACTGCATTGATTCAGGGTTTTCTGCCTGTATTTTCCATCTCTAAAATATCAATTAACAGATATTGCCTGAAGCTTGTCACCCTTTTATAAAACCAGATTGTGCAAGATGAATTATCGGGAGTAATATATCAAGGGTAATATAATTTGCAGTCTTGGCATTCTTTGTCTTGCCTTTTGTATCAGGTTAGTTTAGTGGTTCTCAACTTTTTCTTCACCACAGACTTTCTTTAAATCACTTTTGTGGCCATGGACCACCAAGACTTAACTAAGATTCAAATCATAACATTTCTTCAAGCCTTCACGGATCTCCTGTGATGACATTGCCGCCCCCAGGTTGCAAGATACTGGGTTTGTTAATTTGTGGGTTATAATTTTTTTAAAAAATGAAGTGGATCTCATGAGCCTAAGCAAATTAAAACCTTGGTACAGAGAAATATAGTACTTGGTTTGGAGATGGGCGAAAATGCTCAAATATTTCTTTCACTTGTGTTCATTATTGAAGTTACAGGATTATCATGATATGAATTGGTAAGAAGTTATGTTAACCTGCAATGATATGTGTTCTTTCATTTTATGATATAATAAATGTGAAACAATGAATTGGCTTGTGTGATGTAGGTAAGTTTAACTCCATTCACTTTTGCTTGGTTTCTAAAGCAATTATTTATTTTGAGCAGAGGCATATTTGCATATGACTGTTACATGTGAACCTGAAAATGTTCATATGTTGCCAGTGCTATGATTTAAGGCTTAGACAACTGGACATAAAGTTATATCTAACACTTTCAGATTAATTTTCTAAAAATATAAGCAAATTCAAATTAGTTTAATTTGATTTCAACAGTATGTCAAATAGATTCATTAATATAGAATATAGCTTAAAATATTTAAAGGTATTTCTCTTCCCATTTGTTCCTGAGCCTCAGGTCCTTGAAAGCCCACTCCAAGTGTCCATGCACTCTGAAGTGTGGGGAGTGACTGATGGGGTTGCTTATTTGCATATGAAGGATTTCTCAGAACTTGTAGTTAGTTTTCTATTTGAGCTTTTGTGTAGTATTCTGTTTTAAGTAGCCTGCCCTTTTCATTTCTGATGAAAGCTTTTATTTAAAAGCTTTAAATTGATAGCTTTATTATTTTTGTATTTTAATAGTACCTTGCCTTGTGACTAACATGCTTTAGGAATCAATAAAAATGGAATAAACTGTTTCTGAGCTCTTGATTTTAATATACCTTGTGTTGCAAAACTAGTCTTGTTTATTTTTCCATCCATATTAGTATATCCCCAGGCATTCAGTGTTCTATTTTAATAGAAAATCTGCCCAATTTATTACTTGACTGGCCTAGTGAGTATGCAATATAAGCTTGTTATTTTTTCCGAAAGGCCCAAATTGCATTATAGTAATTGGTTCTGTCCCCAGAGCAGGTTCAAAACAGATTGCCAGAAAACCTCTTAGTGAAACAACTCTGCTTAATTTATTATTTTTATTTTATATGTTTTAGGTTGTATATGAACAAGAAGGAGTTTTTGTTCATTCTTCAAGTGAAAATGATGAAGATCATGATGCTTTACAATCTGGATTATTGCGAGTTATTGAAAAGGTTACACATCAAAATTTAGGGTTTTCTCATTTGAATATAACTGTATAGTATGTTTCCTATGAATTTATTTTCCACTGTTTATGAAAAATGATTGTTTGTATAGAATAAATCAATATTATTTTGTAAATATAAACAAATAGGACACTACTGCATTACTTTTTGAATAATTGTATCATTTGTGTTTTAGGGTACTGAGGTGATAATAGATTGGAGACCTCTGGATGATTCATTAGATTCTTCTAACATTCTATATGCTAAAAAGGTATGCTGGTTATTTGTAGCAATCTTTTGTTAAAGCGTTAGATGTATATCTTAGAAAACTGAAATAAAAATAAAATGAAGGTAGAAACAATTAGATTGCCTCCCAAATATTCTATATTGTAACTTCTAGAAACCCTGACTAATATTTCTAATGGTCAGACTTTTGGGATGCCTGATCTAAAATATCTTGTCAACCCTTCAGGAAACAAACATCATAAGAAATACTAGAACTCCAGTACAGGACTTTTTAACCTTTTCACCCATTGTACCACTTTTCGGATAAGGCAATATCCGAGTACCAACACTCGCCCAGCAAGGTATAAAAAACTTGACCAAAAAAAGAGAGGAAAAAATGAGAAAGTACAGGTAGTCCTCGACTTACAACAATTCACTTTGTGACTGTTTGAATTTACAAGTGAATTATGACCATTTTTCACACTTATGACTATTGCAGCATCCCTAGGGTCTTGTGATTTACATTTGGATTGCTTGGCAACTGATTCATACTTACGACGTTCACAGTGTCCCAGGGTCGTGTGATCAATGGCGGGCATAGCCAGCTGATCACTCAGGTTGCAGGGTGCCTGTGGGGGGGGGAATCTGTGGGTCTCTGGTGGAGGGGGATGCAACTGGGGCGGGTGCCTGCCTTCCCTCCCATTGTCCCTTCCTTCCTTCTTTCCTTCCTTTCCTTCACCTCCCTTTGTCCCTTCCTCCTTCCCTCCCTCTTTCCTATTGTCCCTTCCTTCTTTCCTTCACCTCCCCCTTTGTCCCTTCCTCCTTCCCTCCCTCTCTCCCATTGTCCCTTCCTTCCCTCTTTCCTTCCTTTCCTTCACCTCCCTTTGTCCCTTCCTCCTTTCCTCCCTTTCCCATTGTCCCTTCCTTCCTTCCTTCTTTCCTTCCTTTCCTTCACCTCCCTTTGTCCCTTTCTCCTTCCCTCCCTCTCTCCCATTGTCCCTTCCTTCTTTCCTTCACCTCCCTCTTTGTCCCTTCTTCCTTCCCTCCCTCTTTCCCATTGTCCCTTCCTTCCTTCTTTCCTTCACCTCCCCCTTT